ATACGTGCTCAATAAACCCAACTGAATGAAACTCTGTAGCAAAACTAAGGTTCCATCTCTACCTACTCATCATGCTGCAGCTCACAAAAGCTGTGTGTGGTAGGACAAATCATGGGGCAAGGTTTGGAAGGGGCTGGTTTCTTTCCTAATGCTTTGGCATGTGTCCTGTTGAGGATCCTGTCACACAGCTGAGGGATAGACGGGCAGGGCCACACCATGCTGTATATTCGTGTCCTAAGACTGGGCAGGTAGGGACAGGGCCCTGGGTAGAGTAGATCCTCTCCGCTCTCCTGCAGCACAAATGAAGGGCCATGTGAGGGAGGAGTTTCTTCAAATCGCACTGACACTAGTCCTTCGTGGGCGAAATGAAATGAGGGAGATAGATAATGTGGGACAAAGAAGGAAGATAAAAGGAGGAGATGTGCATATTCTAGGATGAGAGTAAGTTTATTACAAACTAGCTTGGTTTTGTTTTAGAGCAGAGGAAGACTAGGAAAGAATGAACAGTGTGCCATTTAAAAAACTTATCGTGGTTGCCAATGGTAGATCAAAGAGCCACGTTTCCTTCCCAAGGAGAGAATAAAAGGCTGCAAAATATAATACAGCATGAGCATGGAGGGCCTGAGACCAACCTCCCTTTAGGGCATTCTGTCTATGCAGCAAAGAGTGAGTATCTCATTCTCTCTAGTCTTTAGAACAAGCACCACAAGAGGCAGAGGAACCCAATGCAATTCACTCAGGGGAGTCAGTGAAATCCTCATTTCCAAACCTGACCACTCATCCTGAGAAAGACTCATCCTGGTCTTCCATAGGAAAATAATTGCCAAATCCTAGAGAAAACACTCACAGATAGAATTCAATGGCATCCTGAAAATCCACAACACCATGGTCAAGGTGAACCTATGCTAGGAGAACTTGATGTTAGGCAGTCAATTAACTGGGCAGAGATGTCATCAACAGGGCAATGAGGGAGATTAAAAGCAAATGATACAAATACCTCAACAACTGAAGAATATGGATGTTAAATAAAACATAGCTCCCACTCCTAATATGAGTTCTGGAAAACAAGGACAGAAAGCTGCTTCCTTAGCATCATAATGGATTTTGGGTTGCCTAGAAGGCTCAATCCGTTAAGTGTCTGATTCTTGATTTCGGCTCAGGTCATGAACTCAGGGTCATGACATCAATCCCTGCGTTGGGCTCCATGCTCAGTGGGGAATCTGCTCAAGATTCACTCTCCCTCTCCTCCTGCCCCTCCTCCCTCCCTCTCTCTCTCTCTCTCTCTCTCTCTCCCTCTCTCTCAAAAATTCTTTAAAAAACCCTAAACAACATTATAGGGAATATCTATTCTAAACCAATAGCCAACATCCAACCCAACAGGGAAATGTTAGTTCCCCTTCAATCTGGAAGTGAGACAAGACGATGTGGACCAGCATCTCCAATATCCTGTAGGGTTTTCTGAGAAGTAAAATACAGTACGTACACAGACTCCAAACCATAACTGTTAGAAAGAGAACACTTATCCTTTATGTGCTGATCACAGAATGCTACCAAATCTAAGAGGATCTTACCCCTTATACAAAGTATGAGAGAGAGGGAATTGGGATAAGAGAATAAGTATGCAAAAAATTTTAAAAATTACATGCCAGCCATCACCATTCAAAATGTATAAAGAGAAAAGATTCTAGTTACAAGGGCAAAAATAAAACATAACGGGCAGCCCAGGTGGCTCAGCGGTTTAGTGCCACCTTCAGCCCAGGGTGTGATCCTGGAGACCGGGATGGAGTCCCGCGTCTGGCTCCCTGCATGGAGCCTGCTTCTCCCTCTGCCTGTCTCTCTCTCTGTGTCTCTCATGAATAAATAAATAAATAATATCTTTGAAAAAAAATAAAAATAAAACATAACAAAAAATACTTGGGAATAATCTTAAGAAATGTTAGGACTCACATGAAGAAAACTATAAAACTTGACTCAGTGTAAGGGAAGTCTTGAATAAAGAGAGAGGTGGGGTGCCTGGCTGAGTTGGGGGAGCATATGACTTCTGATCTTGGGGTTGTGAGTCTGAGCCCCACATTGAGTGCACAGTACTTTTTTTTTTTTAAGATTTTATTTATTTATTCATGAGAGACACAGAGAGAGAGAGAGAGGCAGAGACACAGGCAGAGGTAGAGAAGCAGGCTCCATGCTGGGAGCCTGACTTGGGACTCGATCCCAGGACTCCAGGATCATGCCCTTGGCTGAAGAAGCACTAAACTGTTGAGCCACCCGGGCTGGCCTAGACATTACTTAAAAATAAAATTAAAAAAAAAAAAAAGATTTATTTTAGAGGGGAGGGAGAGGAGCATGACCAGCAGGGGCAGAGGGAGAGAGACTCTCAAGCAGACTCGGCACTGACTGAGGAGCCTGGTATGGGGCTTGATTTCATGACCCTGAGATCACAGCCTAAACTCAAACCAAGAGTCGGACACTTAATCAACTGTGCCACCTAGGCGTCCCCAAAATAAAATCTTAAAAAAAAAAAAAAAAAAAAAAAGGAGAGACAGACCAGACCACATGGAAGTCTGGAAGGGGTAAAGATGTAAAGCCTTCCCAAATTAATTCTAGGTTTAACCACATTTCAAAATCTCAAGGATTTTAAGCACAAAATTATACCAGAGTTCTACTGAGAAGAATAAACAGGTGAGAAGAACTCAAATAATGATGAAAAAAAAAAATGAAGGGAGGCTAGCCCACAGATGTTAAACTATGTTGAAAAAACCAATAATTAAATTAGTGAAACAGAACATACACTTCAAAAACAGATCCTCGAGTGGAAACGGGGATATTTTCAGGAAAATAGTCTGGCAACATAGATCAAGAGCCTTAAAAACATTCCTATCTTTTCCACTTCAAGGGGATCATCTGAAGTGGAAACTCATATCTATGCACAGAACTGTCCGTGGTGGATTATGGGAGCCAATGCTAGATATGTCACCGGAACAGTTACCAAAGTCATGCCTGTGGGCAATTAATGCAGTGATTAAATACGTTTACAAGTAAAAAAAAAAACAAAAACACACACACACACACAAAATCTAAAATGTTTATAAGTGTATCTTATTTTTAAACTGGAAATACTCACAGATGAATTTTTTTTTTTTTTTTTTTTTGCAAACTCTTAGGAAACCAATTGGAGCTCCACGTAAAACCACAGATGGCCCAAACTATTGTTCCACATTCTGATTGTCTTGAGTCGGTCCTGACAGGCCACGCTAGGCCTCTGACACTGAGGCCCAGGCCCAGGGAACTGTTCTCCCCTAAGATTTATTCACCTGCTCTGGTCCCATAAGATGTGTGGCTCTGATGTTCATCTTCATGGCAGCAAAGGCATGAGCATATCCCTCAGGATTTCAAAGGGAAGGAGTGTGCCCAGGTTAGGTTATTCCAGCATGCGGGGTAAGTTTATCACTAAGTGATTGCAAAGAACTTGCAGAACACCTGGAATCGTGATGGATGCTCTTGTTTGTTGATATTCACTCATGATCCAGAGAATTTTTTGGAAGCATGATTTGAGGATATGCATCAAAAGCCTTACTATTTTGCATCTCTTCTGAACAAGCATTACATTTAGGCATGTGTTCTCAGGATTGTGCATGTGAACAAAAAATTAGCTATTCAACTCCCACCTTTTTTTTTTTTTTAAGGATTTTATTTATTTATTCATGAGAGACACACACACACACATAGAGAGAGAGAGAGAGAGAGAGAGACATAGGCAGAGGGAGAAACAGGCTCCTTGGGGGAGCCCGATGTAGGACTCGATCCCACGACCCTGGGATCATGCCCTGAGCCGAAGACAGACACTTGACAACTGAGCCACCCAGGTACTCTGCTATTCAACTTTTAGAACAATAACATATAGTTTGAAATAGTCTAGGTGTCCAAAGATAGGAAATGGGAAGACACTTTAAACCTCACACCATCTGAAAAAGTAGTTCCATGTTAAAATTCACAAAAAATAGAGATGACAAAAAGGAAAAGAATGAACTATTGAAGGCAGTTCAGGGTAAAGAACATTTCAATATTTCTTAAAAGGAGAGGATACAAGTATTCCTAGTGATAGTCTTTTAGAATGACCAATTGGCCCTGAAAAATGCTCTCAAGAGGCTACCCTAAGACAGAAAAAGTACATGAAGTCCTGCCTTGGGCTTCCTCTGAAAGTCAGGTCTTAACAGTAGAGAGACACAATCCCCTGCCTGCCTGTGGATCAGAATTGCCTAAGAGCTGGTTTAAAACTCTCCAGTCACGGGGCGCCTGGGTGGCTCAGCAGGTTAGGCATCTGCCCTTGGCTCAGGTCATGATCTCAGGGTCCTGGGATTGAGCCCCGGTCAGGCTCCCTGCTCAGCAGAAGCCTGCTTCTCCCTCTCCCTCTGCCCTTCCCCCCCACTCATGCTCTCTCACTTTCTCTCTCTGTCAAATCAATCAATCAACCAACCAACCAATCAAAAGCCCACTCTCCAAGCACTCTCCTGGCTCCAGAACTGGGACCTCTAAGGGGGCAGGTGAGGGGGAAGCTTCCATATTTCGCTCACAAAAGCCTCAGGCAGTGGGACTTGCTTCAGTGCCCAGTTTAGGAATGACGGTCTGCTGGAGTGACCAAATCCCAGTTCATGTGAGTTTTAGATCTGCAGTGTGATCCAGGAGCCCTTTTCTCCATCTGTCAAGTGGGATTAAACCTGAGTTTCCACCTTAAAAAGATAACCTGAGGTCGCGGTATATGGAGAGCAGGAGGCTGAGTTAGGAGAAAGAATGCCCAGTCTGGACACGTGTGCCAAAGTGGAGAAGTGCTTTCCCCTTCGGCAGGGGTGACCATGCAGAAAGCCCACCATTGTGACCGTAAGACAGAGGTCCCGGGTAGAGATGCCAAACACTGGACCCCACGCCTGAGGACACTTGAGCCCCAAGTTGTGTTCCACGAGAGGCTTGAGCACATCCTGCTCAGATGAGGACACCCCACCTACCTGCCCAGAGCTCCGAGGTGATGTGAGGGGCCATTGGGGCAGCCATCACCACCAGGGCACACAGCGCGTCCTCAAACTCAGGGCTGTGGAGAACCACTCTCTGAGAAGCTTGCTGAGGAAGAGAAAAGAATGGTGTAAGTATACTGAGATGACCGGAGCACCTGGGTGGCTTAGTTGGTTAAGCGTCAAGCTTCAGCTCAGGTCATGATCTCAGGGTCCTGGGGTTGAGCCCTGTGTCAGGCTCCCTGCTCAGTGGGGAGCCCGCTTCTCCCTCTCTCTCTGTCCCTCCACTCTGTTCATGTGTGCTGTCCCTCTCAAATAAATCAATAAAATCTTTAAAAAAATTGAGACGAACAAAATAAGCCTGCCTAAGAAAGGCCATTTATGTATCTGAAGTGCAGAGACACAAGCGGGTAGGCCGAAACCCTCCTTACCATCTGTGTTTGCTCTGGACAAAGAACTTGCCCCTTTCAATCAGAGTATTCAAAGGAATGCAGCAGCAGCAACACCACATACACGACTCTTAACTGAGCACATACTAGGCCCTCAGTCTGAGGCTCATTTGGTTCCCACAACTACCCTTACAGGGTGGTGTTCTTACCCCACTTGACGGATGAAGCAGCTACAGACCATGAAAGGAGAGTAACCTGCTCCCAGGTACCTGGTTAGCCAAGTGACGCAGCCCCCATGAGAATCCAGCTTTGTCTTCCACCAGACTTAAACCACTAACCGCTCTGCGAGGTTTCCCGTGCATTGCAGGGCCAGTGAGACACACAAACAGACTTGCCCACAGGTTCTGCAATGTGGAACGTCCAGTGCAGGGGCCCTCCTGCCCGCTCAGGGACCTCGGGGGTCCTCCTTCTATTAAACAGCTTTGCCGATTACAGTAAAGACCTGGTTTCCTCCTGCAGTGCAGCTGGTCAGATAATGCAGCCACACCCATTTAATTTATGGGGCACCTACTCTATACTAGACTTTGGGGAAGTCTCTGCCCTCAAGGAGTTTACAGAGGATCGAGGGGGAAAAGTGACAAATGAGTTGAGGGTGAGGATTCCACGGGGTGCAGGTGGGGAGGGAGGGTGGTCAGCAAAGCAGGGTGTAAACTGGCGAGTGTAGACCAAGGACAGTCCAGAGGGAGGCAGGCCAGGCTAAGGTGGTTGGAGGAAAACAACTGTCCTGAGTTTCCCAGAGGCTGGCAGTTCTCAAGGCACCCTGGGAAAGTCATGGTAAAAACCAGCCTAAAGTGATGGTGGCAGCTCAGTCTACGTTTGTTAACTCAGTCTATGTTTTGTCACTCTGTGGCAAAAACAGTTTTGGTCTAATTTTATGATTTTTTTTTTTAGATCTTATTCATTTTTATTTATTCATGAGAAACACAGAGAGAGGCAGAGACATAGGCAGAAGTAGACTCCTTGATGTGTTTGTTAAAATTAAAAGTAGGTAGCGGGGGGGGGCAGCCCCGGTGGCGCAGCGGTTTAGCGCCGCCTGCAGCCTGGGGTGTGATCCTGGAGACCCTAGATCGAGTCCCACGTCGGGCTCCCTGTGTGGTGCCTGCTTCTCCCTCTGCCTGTGTCTCTGCCTCTCTCTCTCTCTCTCTCTGTGTCTCTATGAATAAATAAATAAATAAATCTTAAAAAAAAAAAGTAGGTAGCCCACATAATGTATTTTGCTAGGTAAAGGGAGTCTAAATATATTAAACACTTTTTTAAAAAAGCATGCATATATGATCTTTGCAAAACTGCCTAAGAGATTTAAATATAATTCCACGGAAGACGGTACAGAGAGAATTTGCCAGAAGTAGCTGTTGGGGAGAAGAAATTTCATTTTTCTATAATATTAGCCATTTTTTTCCTGATTAAAAAAAATAACACACTCTCAATAAAGAAAATTTGGGAAATATACAATTACACATAACTGTATCACCTAGGAAAAAAAACAGATGTATTTTTATCCTGGTCTGCAAAAAGGCAAAAATATGTGAGTATACACAACTGTCCACATACCCTTTTGCTTGACTGGAATTTTTGTCATGCAGGCACTTCCGTATTGTGTGCCTTTACTTGATGTTATATCGTGAACAGTTTCTGAGAGTAAGGATTCCTGGAAGGTATGATGTGAGCGGTGGTGGCACATTTCCTTCTTATTGATATGACAAGTCATTTTACGACTTCCCCATCTGAGGACAGTTGGGGTATTACATGTCTGTGATTATGAGTCACTTGCCAATGGGTATCCTGAGCCAAAGGACCTAAATAATTGTAGTAGGGCTACCAACCTCAAAGCTGAAGTTCCTCTTGGCAAGGTTACATCAACCACGGCCACAGCTGCTGTGTGATACTCTCTCACTGCCTTTGTCATAGGACAGACTTTATGTTAGAAAGTCTCTACAAATTTGATAGGTTAAAAAAAAATAGCATTGTATTTTTAATTTGCGTTCATCATGATAACTAGCAAGGCAGATATATTTTTTCTACCAAGTTTACAGATTATTTCTATTCCATTTTCTGTGGGTTATTGTCTTCTCACATCCTCTCACTATTTTTAGGTTAGGTATTTTCATATTCATATGTAAAGAGCTCTTAATATGTTACGGATATTAAGGCTCAAGTCTGACATATTTGTTATAAACTATTTTCCCCAGTTTTTACATGCTTTTTAATATGTCATGTTTTAATATACTAAAAATACTAAGTTTCACGTAGTCAGGCCTGTAAATTTCTTCCACTTTCTTAAAGTCTGGAGAGAGCTTCATTATAAAAGCCATTTGTTGGGGCGCCTGGGTGGCTCAGTTGGTTAAGCCTCTGCCTTTGGCTCAGGTCATGATCCCATAGTCCTGGGATGGAGCCCCATGTTGGGCTTCCTGCTCAGTGGGCAGTGTGCTTTTCCCTCTCCTTCTGCCCCTCTCTCTGCTTGTGTTCTCATTCTCTCTAGTAAATAAAATTAAAAAAAAAAAAGGCATTTGTTAATAGTTTAATGTGCTTTTTGTTGTGTGTTGTCCAAACAGCTAACCACTGTTCTAAAGCTCCATTTGTTGACAGATGCTTCCCCTGGCAAGAAACATTCTAGTCATATGTAGCAAGATGAGTCTATGCTAAAAACGCTGGCTTTTGTTTTTAGTGAGCACAAATCTGATCTGTCCAGGTTAAATGAGCGTAAAATATTAAGGATGCCGAGGGAGTATCAGATCAATCGGGAAAGCAGGCAGTGGAAGCATGAAGAAAAGAGCAGAGCCGGAAGAGAAGGGGGCTTGAGTCTGGTACTGGTTTGTCACTAATCATCCAGACATGTCATCTAACCTTGCTGGGTGTCACTGTCCTCATCTGCAAGATATGGGAGTGGGGGAGGGGAGAGAGGGAGCAGGGTTTAGAGCAACTTTTAAGAACCTTCCAGCTAGGAACACCTGGGCAGCTCAGTGGTTGAGCATCCGCTTTTGGCTCAGGTCATGCCCCCAGGGTCCTGGGATCGAATCTTGAATCGGGCTTCCCATGGGGAGCCTGTGTCTCCTTCTGTCTGTGTCCTTGCCTCTCTCTGTGTCTCTCAAGAATACATAAAATCTTAAAAAAAAAAAAAAAAAAAGAATCTTCTAGCTATAAAACTAGGTTGTGACTATGGAAAAAATGCTTCTTTAAGATAACAGAGCCACACCAAGGAGGTGACACCATGGTGCTACCCTCTGTCCACAACCCAGGATCCCCTGTAGGCCACCTAACAATGTGGTTGGCAGCCACCTGCCCTCCTCTGCGACCAGCAAATGAGGGCAGGAGGGCCACTTACCAAGAGGTTACTGCTGAGTCCCATCAACTGAGCAATTGCAGAATTCAGTGAGAAGTCCTCTGTGAAATGGCCGGTCACCTATTTATAAAAGTCAAATTATTCACTGTCTTCAAAATTCCTTTAAGGACACAGAACATAAAGACTCCTAACTCTGGGAAATGAACTAGGGGTGGTGGAAGGGGAGGAGGGCGGGGGGTGGGGGTGAATGGGTGACGGGCACTGAGGGGGACACTTGACGGGATGAGCACTGGGTGTTATTCTGTATGTTGGTAAATTGAATACCAATAAAAATTAATTTATTAAAAAAATTCCTTTAAGGTTTTCATAAACCACCAATGCAACACAACACAACAACAAAGCAAACGAATTATCCCAAAAAAAGGGGGGGGGGAATTAAATGAATGCAATCAAAGATGTTTATAAATGTATTCACCATCTTGAATAATCATGGTAACATTTCATTGGCAAAGATTTTTAAAATCAGGATCTACAGTGTTTCCACTATTCAACACTTCCAGCCGCCCCACATCTGGGACAGTGCTGGTTCTCACAGCACTATCCCAAATGCTGCTAACTACCTGGATAGGAGGCAAGACCCACTGACAAGCAAACATCTATACAACAGTCAGCAGGAGGTGGGGTACAGGATATCCCTTCTCTGTGGCTACGTGACTTTCATTCACAACGAAGGTTATTAGTATATGGGATAAGTTTTGCATTTTCGAATATGGAGTCAACATAAGAATATGAGTATGACCTGTCAGCTACTTCCTGTTTGTGTGCTTTTCAATTTTGGCCACGGCCAAGAATACAGAGAAACGACATGTCTAAAGATATCGAAAAACAACACATCTAAAGATGTCGTTGAAATACTCCAATTCTATTATCTGACAGAACAGAAAAATGTGCCAAATCCTTACAGGAAATATGTGGTATGAAAACAATCATTCAGGCGTCACTCACATCATGAAATTCAACTGTGTGAGCTCTGTGTCTCTACCCTAGAGTGGGGAGGATAGGGATCTTCCCTGAAGAAGTGTCACCGAATGAGACCATGCTGCACCCGTGGCCTCATGAAAACCCTGTTCCTCCAAGGTCATCAGTTACGAGTCCAAAAAGTGACCCTGGCTGACTTTAGATTGGCAATTCTAAAAAACAGAGGTAAAATTAAAAATTCAGCCTGAGGAGTACTTGGTGTGTTTGGTACCCACTAAAAATACAGCTCCGGATCTCCTAAATGCCTTCTTTCAAAGACAGGACATTTTTTTTTTTTTTTTAACAAAGTGCTTAAAAAGGCAAATGTCATGGTATTGTGTCAGACTTCTAGATAAGAAATGTATAGGGATTTGTTATCAATGAAGAATCTTTTAAAATGAGTGAGGGGGCGCCTGGCTGGCTCAGGAGGTGGAGTGTGTGACTCTTCATCTCAGGGTCAGGTCTTCAAGCCCCACGCTGGGTGTGGAGGTCACTTAAAAATAAAGTCTTTAGAGACAGGAAAAGATAAAATGATTTAGACAATAAAACATTCTCTAAGAAGGTAATACGAACAAATAATTTATTGGCAAAAGTTACGTCATAGTAACTCACACAGATTCTGTGTAACAAAGTAAGTGGTGGGAAAGTCCTCACTATACTGAGCGTCCAGGAACTCGGATTCTAGCCTCTGGGCCCCATCTCTGTCCCCATCTGTACAATGAGGAGGCCAAAGAACAGTCTCCTCACGCCTGTTTCACTTCTAAACTTCTGTTTGTTGATCTCCCACGTATGCGTCATCAGCATAATCCTGCATTTGGTTCTCTGCCCTGGTGCATTAAGTGCGGAGCCACAGGGCGGGGGCGGCCTCCTGAGATCTGGGATGGACATGTGGGGACCACTGTTAGAGGAAGCCGTTTCCTGAGAGCGAGTCTTCCTCAGCATGTGGACTGTTGCTCCCCGCTGGTGAGATACTCGACACGCTGACGGCAACCCTTCAAGACCAGAGGCCCACCACAGAGAGGAAGGAAGAAGGGTAGCTCACCCACACCAAGAGCACTCAGTCACCAAGTTAACCAGCATCCCCAGAAAGTTCCTGACCTCAGAGATAACTGCATTCTTGTACTCCCAGAGCTTCTTGCTCTCGGCTCTCTCCTCGTTCCTCAGGAGCTCGGGCCGGGGAACCATCCCAGATGCCCTGGCCTCAATGAAGCGGGTCACCAAGGTCCACAGACGCTGTTGCCACCTTAGCACGCCCGGGAGGGCATCAGCTGAGTTTCATGACAAGAAATGAGACAGAGAAGGAGAGACATGTGAGTGACTGACCTGGTTGTACCCCAGCCCAGAGAGGGACTTGTGCATTGAAGACATGCATCACTGTGCCCCAATGGGGGTTATCCAGGGCAGGCTGCAGGGTCCACCCTGGCTTCCAGGGTCTGGGAGCTCAGAGCAGCACTACTCTGCCATATTCAAGAGCCCTGGGTATTCAGAGCTCAGGGCTGCAGGGCTACTCAGAGTGCTGCCCCCCACCACCCCTGGCCCCCACAAGCTCAGGAGCCCTGGGGGATGTGCCTCAGTGACCAGCTGCCTTGAGTAAGAAGCTTGCTGCCACAAAGGTGTCCCCAAGGACACCTATGCCTGAACGTCTGCACTCTGTAAGTCCCTGATTCCGATGCGGCCAGTTCCAGGACTGGCACCTGTGACGATTGCTCCAGAGCACACTTAGCACTAGAAAGGGATGCTGGGTAAGCGGTCATCCCAGGCACTGATGGCTCCTCCCCATAGCAACACTAGGGGTGGACCACAGGAAGGAAAACTGAGTGAGCATTGGGCCGCTTATTCTCGGACATCCCGACACCTAAGATTGGACCTCATCCTTTTTCAGATCTAATCAACTCTGTACAGACAAATCTCCCCTCAGGGGGCTCTGGAGGCTGCTGTGGGTGACAGAGGTCACGGAAAACATTAGGAGGAGGCCCCAGAGGGCACCTGGGTGGCTCAGTGGTTGAGCGTCTGTCTTTGGCTCAGGTCACGATCCCAGGGTCCTGGGATTGAGTCCCGCATAAGGCTCCAAGCAGGGAGCCTGCTTCTCCCTCTGCCTTTCAGGGTAGATGGAGAGGGGACTGGCCTCTGTGGACCACCGAGGGGTCTCAGGGTTGCGTGGAAGCTAGTCTGGCTCCTGCGGAATGTTCTCAGGTGGGGTCTTTGTAGGACCAGCAGCAGTATACCACAGATTTGCCAAAGGCAGGGACTGGACACTGGGACCCCCTGGACGCTGTGTCAGCAGGTCTGGGGTGAGGATTGGGAATCCATGATGGCCACCAGCTCCCCCCGGGGTTCTGAGGCTCATTACATCTGGGGGCCCTGTCTAAGATTGGCACAGGATGCTGGACACACCGCTACTCACTTCAGGGACCCGATTCCTAGGACCCTCGCTACTGTCTTCAGCCACGACATTTCCTTCCCCTAAACTCCTTCGGCATCCAAGGCAGATCACAAAGGAGGCGGCCCCGGGGACAGGAAGGGGACTTACTCTTCACATCCCACAAGATATCCTTCTCGGGAGGGGCAGCGAAAAGGATGTAGAGCCGGATGGTATCGATGCCGAACTGCCCCACGACCTCCTCGGGGTCCACCCCATTGTGCTTAGACTTGCTCATCTTCTCCCACGTTACCTCCAGCTGCTCCTTCGTTTCTGAGTGAACAGGAACAGAGCCTACACACCGAAATAACATGTGGGGATATGTGTGGTTCTGAGCTAGCTCTAGAAAAGCCCATCTCAGAAGAGCTGTTCCAAGTGTCCAGCTGAGGAATCCCACTGACTCACTTAACACGCCTCTTTCTCCTTCTCTACAGGATGTTACAGGAAATGTTTTCGCTTTGAAATAAGTGAGGCCCACCTCTCACCACAAACCTTCCCTTTGGGAATACACGGTACAGTCAGAAGGGCCTGGGCCAGCTTTTTCTCGACCACAATATAAGACAAAGCAATTTCCTGTGTTGTAAAAGTCAATTACTTTTATCTAAAAGAGAAAGTAGGAACAGGGCAACAAAGCTTTGCACGCTGTACTGTCTTCTTTATGGATTCATGGTCTCCTCTGGAAGCCGGTGGTGGACTGGTCTGGGCCTTCAGGGCAGAGGAGCACCCCCGGAGGTCACTATAGTTCCCAACACATGGTCTGGCCCCAGGAGACCATGGGCTCATGCGGAATGGGGTGCACCCAGTGGTGCCAGGGTGCCACGGCCTGTTCTTTGGAAGTGACTCCTCCCCACCCACATGCCACCGGTCCAGAGGGTGCTAATGGAGAAGGTCTTCCGTGGCTGGGACAAGGAAGGACATCTGGCCAGGCTAAGGTCTTCTCAGAAACCAGAATTAAGAGACAGAAACTCTTGTTTCAGTGTTCCTGGGAACCAGAGCCATAAAGTCCTAAGGAGATGGGGTGAGCCATGGCCTGGTGTCTCCCCAAGGTCACCCTGTAACCTCAGAAGCCAAGCCTGGTGGAGGAAGGAGAATAGGGCAGAAGAAGAGGGCAGATGGAACAGGCATGAGAAGCTAGGGGACAGGGGAAGAAGTCCTAGGACTGGCATCTGTGTGGCAGCTGGTGACCACGGGCATGCTGTGAGGCCAGGCTGAGCCCCGGCAGCTGGCTTGGGTGACAGCCCTATATCCCACGCTCGACCTGCCTTTGGGTACATTTCTGTTCCTTCCAGGCAGACAGTCCTGGACTCTGGCCACAACCAAACTCCCAAGGGATTGATGTGTGTGCCTAAGAGCTAATTCCATAGTTCACAGAAGTGCACCCCTGAAGGAGATGGAAGCCTGCCCAGGCTGTTCCAAGTATTCTCTCCCACAGGGAAAGTCTACATGGGAAGGGAGATGTTCACAACACTGGTCCCGTGACATCAGAGCAAAGGGAACCGAAGTTGCTTTACCCAGGCTGTGGTAAGGCTCAGGGAATCACTGCTCCGTTTATTCTGCACACTTCCTCGGGTTGTAGCTACCCTTTTCAGCACTGTTGTGCAAATTAGGAAAAAGGCATCTATCTGGGCAGAGCAGTTGAGAAATTAGAGGTGCCCTCTCTTGGCAGATGTGGCCTTGAGGTGTTAAGTTTGGCAAGTGGCTGGATTTCAGGCCCTGCTCAGCCCCTTGACTGGGTGCCTTTGTGCAGTATACACACTGCACAGCTGTACATGACAGTCCTGCCCTTAACACAAAGAGCACTTCATTGACAATTGCAATCTGGATGCCCTTTGGATTTGGCTCCTTTCCCTGCTGGTTTGTTGGAGAATCACTGCCAATTTCTGCCTTTCTAGCTTCTTTTTCTCCCTTGGACCATTCCAAACCCTGATATATTACTGCATTAATTAGGTAATTCCCTTGATGGCTTCCACCTAAATCTTTCCTCTAGTATTTGGCTTGGGAGGCTGCCTACCATTAGGGGTTTGTTGGGTTTACATGATTTCATCCATAGTGCACTGGTTTTCTAAGTCAGAGTTCTGGGGGTTTCTTGCAGGGGCCTCTAGATACCCCCATTCCCATCTTCTGATTTCATCGGTATACTGGGTGCACACAACACCTTCACGGTGCCACCTATATAGATCTGGTAGAGCTACCCTACAGATCTGGTAGGAGGAGCTACCCCTGAGGAAAAGTTCAGGGGAAAGCCAGGGAAGTGCTAGACGGGGTTGCTCTGGGGTGCTGCAGGGTAAGTTTAGTGCTGCGCCTCTAAACCACTAGGGAGAAGTGCTGGGAGTACCCCAAGCTTCAAAGAGTGTCTCTTGGGTCTGGGGGCTCTCTCCCTGAGACGAGCTGTCAAACATAAGTGAGGACACGAGCTGATAGCCAGGTTGACTCTGGGTTACATACACATGAAAACCTGCCGGAAGTGAACCGACATGGCTGGGGCTGGGTCGGGGCCGAGAAGCAGGCAGCTGTCCGAACCCCAGCCTTCAGAGGGCACCAGCCTGCAGCGGGCGGAGGCTTGGAGACCCTGGATTTTCCACAGCCAAGGCCCTGGGCAAACACCTGCTTTGTCAAAGGCTCTCAGGCCTGTGAGTACCGGGATGGGACCAGGTGGGCCACTCTTACCTGTGAGATCTACTTCTTCTCTCTGTAGGTATTGTCCAGATGGCAGGCGGAATGTCTGTCCCTTGATAAGGCCTTGGGCCAGCAGCTTATGAAAAGGCTCTCTGAGGAAAAATAACAGGAAAAGAAATCAATGGGTAGGGATTTGAAGTGTCCAGAAGACAGCAATACAAACCTTATCTGCTGGATGGAGATAGTTGCCCCTCACAAAAGCAGGGGGGCTGGCCAGTGCCACTTGTAAACCCGACTGGAACAAACCGCTCCTTATAAAGAAGTGATAAGAACGTGAAGTCCAATCAGCAGGCGTTAACTCCTGTCCACCTGGCGAAGTGGCAAGAGCACGAGGCTTCCGATTCGGAAGACCTAGATTTGAACCCATTTTCCTTCTCGACAAATTCCATGAGCCAAGACAAGTCACTTACTGGTTCTTAGCATCAGTTTGCTTCTCTGTTAAGTAGAGGCAATAAAAATCTGTCAGAGGGCTGTTGGGAGGATTCGAGAATATGACTGTGTGAACATACTCATAAACTGTAAAGAACCACACAAAAGTCAGCTACAGGCGGAGTCTAGCATCAGGAAGGTCTCAAGAGGATGCAGAGAAGTTGAAGTTGGGGCTCTGTTCAAGCAGGCTCCTTTCACCTCAACCTTGTATACAGTGCCTACTTATATTCTTTAAAAAAAATTTTAGGGCAGCCCGGGTGGCTCAGCGGTTTGGCACCTGCCTTCGGCCCACGGCATGATCCTGGAGACCCGGGATCAAATCTCGCATCAGGCTCCCTGCATGGAGCCTGCTTCACCCTCTGCCTATGCCTCTGCCTCTCTCTTTCCGTGTCTCTCATGAATAAATAAATAAAATCTTAAAAAAAAATTTTAAATCATAGAAACCAATCACGTATATACCCTTTCTGTTCAAATTCAAACATTACCCTCCTCTTAGGCCTACCCCCAGCCTGAAGAGGCACGTTATTAATTGTATGGTGAATATACCTGGAAAAGTCTAGAGACTTACTGAATGTCTTTTCCATGCAAATGAGTATATATACACATATACATATATATAGTTTTGCACAATTTTTATTTTATTTTATAAAAAGATTTTACTTATTCATGAGAGACCCAGAGAGAGAAAGGCAGAGATATAGGCAGAGGGAGAAGCAGGTTCCATGCAGGGAGCCCGATGTGGGACTCGATCCCAGGACTCTGGGATCACACCTTGAGCCAGAGGCAGACACTTAACTGCTGAGCCACCCAGGCATCCTGATTTTTATAAAAAATTTTTTAAGAATTTTATTTACTTATTTGATAGACAGAGAGCACAAGCAGGGGAAGCAGAGGCAGAGGGAGAAGCAGGCTCCCCAATGAGCAGGGAGCTCAATGTGGAGCTGGCTCCCAGGATCCTGAGATCATGACCTGAGCCAAAGGCAGACACTTAACCGACCCAGGCACCCAGGCACCCCTTTGGTGTAATTTTTAAAAAATTTAAATAGATCATCATGTATATACTACTTTGTGGTATTTCATTTACTATAGGAAGGATTTTTCCACAACAGTCCAGACAGATCTATCTCAGCTTTAAACAGCTCTCTAGTAGGTCTACGGCACAGATGGATTATAATTTGTTTATAGTGCCTGGTTTTCATCACTTTTACTGGATGAAGAGTGAAATATAAACTTTTTCTCTGAAGGGGACAAGTTGAGTTTGACTCCTATGCTGAAAAGACTTTTCTTTTTTTTTTTTTTTTTTAACATTTTATTTATTTATTCATGAGACAGAGAGAGGCAGAGACACAGGCAGAGGGAGAAGCAGGCTCCATGCAGGGAGCCTGACATGGGACTCAATCCCGGGACTCCAGGATCACACCCTGGGCTGAAGGCGGCGCCAAACTGCTGAGCCACCCGGGCTGCCCAGGACTTTATTTCTGATTTGAAATGGTATCTCCTGAAAAATCCACCTGATTCTGTTTTGAAGCACATGAGCATAGCACTATTCCAAACTCCAAGGATGATTTGTGGGGACATGTGCTGACAACACGCATGTGTGCTATTCACAAAGACAGCAGGCAGGGACATGTGGTGGGAGCCGTGTTCTCCAAGAGCATCACCAGCAGCATGATGCAACTTTCAAAAGATAAACCCTTTGGCGTTTCAAGTTCATTTACTCAAGGTGGCTCTTATGTAGAGGTTCAAAAAACCAATTACCGGGATCCCTGGGTGGCGCAGTGGTTTGGCGCCTGCCTTTGGCCCAGGGCGCGATTCTGGAGACCCCGGATCGAATCCCACGTCGGGCTCCTGGTGCATGGAGCCTGCTTCTCCCTCTGCCTATGTCTCTGCCTCTTTCTCTCTCTCTCTCTGTGTGACTATCATAAAATAAATTTTAAAAAAAATTAAAAAAAAGAAAAATTAAAAAAAAAAAATTACCTCAGAGGCCCAGCAGGCCAAAGGGGGGCTGTGGTGATGGAGGGAGGAAGCTGGCTTGGCTAACCTGACAGGAGCCTCATTTCTCACGAGAGGTAGTCGGATTTAGATGAACTGGGATGCCCAGCAAGGCCACTGGCAGTCCCCTGATTTGTACCCAAGTGGCCCTCATCAAATGGCCGTATGGACAGATGTAGTATGAGAAACTTTCTAGTGGATTCTGAGCATGGCGTGGAACAAAGAGTTGATTGGGAAAGACATGAAGGTCAGCTAGAAAAAAAGACTCTTAGCCTTCATATCTTAAAATCTTAGTGTGTGTGTATATGTGTGTGCAGAGGTGGTGGTGGTGGTGGTGCTGAGGTATTCTCTAAGGTGGAGGAGACCCAATATATTTAACATTCCAGTAGAAATGTAACACACATTTTTGAGACTTATTCAAATTACTCAATGTTTTTCTCCACCGTCTCGGGGGCCATCGGTACGCTACCATGTTAATCTGGGAGAAATGCCACATGCATGTGTGCACAGAAGTCATTGACGTCATTGTGCAGGCCCTAAAATCCATCCTAATAATAAATTCTTTTGAGTCACACAACTGCCTTTGTCCCGCTTCCCCCATGACATTCCACCGGCAAAGTCCTGTCTGGCAGACTGACTTCCTCCTGTGCCACTGTTCATGTGCCAACAAGATTCCTAGAAAATGTTAGTCTTTTATTTTTATTATTTTTTTAAAAAGATTTTATTTATTTATTCATGAGAGACACACAGAGAGAGAAAGAGAGGCAGAGACACAGGAGGAGGGAGAAGCAGGCTCCATGCAGGGAGCCCGACGTGGGACTCGATCTCGGTCTCCAGGATCAGGCCCTGGGCCAAAGGCAGGTGCTCAACCGCTGAGCCACCCGGGGATCCCAAAATGCTAGTCTTTTACACAGGAAAACATGGAAGGTTATTTAACAACCAAATGTGCTCGGATGGATCTTATGTATTTGAATCCAGGAGCACCTAGAAGGGGGAGGCACGGTGTCTGAGGTCCTCCCCTCTTTTCAGGAACACCTGCACCAACAGCATGAGGAGCAGGTGTCCTCAGACCACACAGGCTTTCTCCAGGGCAGGTGGGGGTCTGGATGCCCAGGGAGCAGGGCTGCATTTTCCTCAGGAAGCTCAGAGAACTGTCCCCCCACGGGCAGAGCTCTCGGTTTTCTCTACCATCAGCCCCTGTTGACCTTCCCAGTGTCTCTGACACTTAAACACACCAGCTCCTCACCGAGGTCATATGTGCACTTGGCTGTTCCCAGCAGGTGCTGTGCTCCACAGGATCAAGTGCCTAGGCTCCCTGGGGAGACCTGAACTCAACACTCACCACCAGACTCGGGCATTCCCTTTTCTGGATGGCCAGCTCAGTCCCCTGTACACAACTCCATGCCCTCCCTTGTGTCCTGCAGTGTCCAGCACATGCTGCCGTGATGAGTGTGACCAGGCAGTGTTGTGACTACTATGTGAAGACCAGTCCCCAGCCTACCCTGCCCCCTCCATGGTGAGGACTATTCTCTTATTCTTCCCTCTGTCCCAGCTCTTAGTGCTGTGCACAACGCTCAACGACAGGCTCAAAAAAATTGTCCAAAACCCAGAGGGATGAATGAATGCACAAATATGCACAAACAGATGCCTACAGGAGGACAGCGGGATGGAAGGAGGACGACACCAGGCAGTTGCTGTTGCTAGCTCCTGAAGCCATCTCTCCCTTCCAAGCGACCTAAGGTGGCACCTGGATTTTAACCCCCACACATATTCTATACGGCAACAGTTTTGAAACAAGATAAGAAAATCATATGGCTAGGGATGCCTGGGGGGCTCAGTGGTTGAGTGTCTGTCTTAGATGCAGGGCATGATCCTGGGGTCCTGGGATCGAGTCCCACATCGGGTTCCCTGCAGGGGGCCTGCTTCTCCCTCTGCCTGTGTCTCTGCCTCTCTCTCTGTATCTCTCATAAGTAAATAAAATCTTTTTTTTAAAGTAAATAAAATCTTAATAAAAAATCATATGGCTACTTTTTATTGGGCAGGTAAAGGAAGAGACTGGACACAAATACATTCAAAAGCACAAAGCAAAATGAGCCAGTATTCTACAAGGAAGGGCACCCTCCCCTCACCCAAGCCCCAGTGGTGCCTTTGCTGAGCATCAGCAGGCTCAAAGGCATGATCTGGCCACACATTCAGGGTGCACAAACTCATCTTTTAGATCAGAATCTCCCTCAGATAATTTTACGTGCCGCAGCTTGATGGAAAGAAAACAATGCTCAAAAACCCAGACTGCCACCTTCTCCTTGCTGTGCCCTGTGCCAGCTGGAGGAACTTGTTACTGTCTGCACTAGTTTCTGAGATTTTTCCTTTCCTCTCTCTCTACGTACATGGCTTGGGTCACGAGAAATATAAGACCAGTATGGAATGAAGGAGGGAATAATCTGGATCCCAAAAATAAAGATGAGTAGTATGATGAATATCTGTATATCTGTAGCTTTCGGCCCCCCAAGGCAGGGAGCTCAGGGGAAGAAAGCAGGAATCCTGTCCTGGGTCCTGCAGTTTCTCAAGCGGGTCGATGCTGCCACCTTCTGGGAATGGACAGCACTACACCTGCCAGCATCTGCCCCTAACCCCGGTCATCCTGCCTGACGCTGCTGTGCTCAGGCCTCAT